GGGTCAGTGATCTATGCATGGGTGAGCTAATCCCTGTTTAAAAAAAAAATTGCTCCACAAAAAACTTTTGGTTTTCGGATAAAGGGTTGTCAACCTGTATGTATGGTATGTTGTGTTGTCAATAGTAAGAGAAACAATTGAGACCCTGCAATTGTGCGTAAATGAGGCAGAAAGACAGATCAGCAACCTGGGACTTGGTTACAATATTCGTGATGCCATATGGCAGCAGGGTCTACCATTAGACAACACACATTATGCTTCCAATATCTTCCCAGGCAGTAGTACCTCCCTGTTTGATAGCTGCTTCACAAATATGGTAATGAACCAACTGTATATACTCGTATATAGTATTCTCTCGATTTAACGAACTTATTCGAGCCACGCCTTTCCGTTAAATCAAAATTTCCGCTAAATCGAATTTCTGTTATTGTCGCTCGATTTAGCGAGCGATATTCCATTAAATTCTACACCAAATGCGGTGCTTGGCGCATGGGGTTTGTTTACATCCACTCAGTCTGTGTCCTGCCACCACCACGTATGTTGTTCAGCACTACCTCTCGGTCAACTAACCAATGTGCTTAGACATCATGCTGAAAGTCTCTCAGAAAGGAAGTGGTTTGGGAGAGAAAGTCAAAAGTGAGTGGCTATCAATTGGAAAAAAATTTGGAAAGTATAGACAAAATTGAAAACACCGAACCCCCTCGTTGAAGGTAAGCCATGAATAATGTTTCTATATACATATCATATGTCTGAGGTGTCTTGGTAGGTGTGGGCGTATATTAACGGAATTAATCTCAATTTAGCGAACTACGTAGTTCAATAAACCGAGTGAAAAATAGCTTGAAAAAATTCCTCCCGTTAAACCGAGTTTGTTATATGGGATTCCGTTAAATCTAAAGTAAACTGTGCTACAGTACTGTATTTGTATGATAAAGAGTGGATTTTTTGTTGTTTCTGAACAGAATTAATTTTCTTAGGTATAGTGTTTTTTTTATTTTGTTTTTTAAACCAATTTCATTCCTTTTAGGTACAATACCAAATAATACTGTATTGAGGTATTCTTGTCGTTCGGTAACCTAACCCTATTTTTCCCATTTGATATATTATTCCCAAGTACAGGTAGTCCTGATTTATCTGTACATTATATGTGTCTTAGAATACCATATTCTGTACAGTACTGTACTGTGTTGTATGTACAGTAGTCTCATATCTTCTCCTTCAAACATTACAGTTCATTTATCGATTTTGTATTAGCATCTAACATGACAATAAATTAAAGGAAATTAAACACCTATTATAGCTTGGTAACACATGGAGTTCAGTTTTATCTTAATAAAGAATGATGATAATTACAGGTAAGCCTTAACAAATGCAGGTCCATAGCACAGTTCACCATTCACCGATGTTACTAAAAATAGATTCAAGATGATGTGGTAACAGCACTGCAACACAGGAACAGAGGACAAACAGTGGTTATTTGAATTTATTATTGAAAGTAGCTGGTAAGCAGCGCTGTATTTGTCCTCCGCACCACTACCACAAGGTCACCCAGAAGCTCCGCCAACAACTGTGACGTGAATGATGAACCGTGCTATAAGCTCGCTATCTGGAGTTATTTCTTCTAATACAGTATGGTGTAAATGGTACTATAACATTCTTATCCCAATAGGAAGCCCCAAAATCCAAGTCAGCATACCTCCAGCAAGGGGAATTAAATTAGTGAAAATCATTTATAATTTCATTAAAAAAAAAATTTACACAACCCAACCTAACAATCTTTGCTTGCTCATTTTATGGTTGTTAGGTTTTGTTGGTTCATCTTGTATGCAGTTGTATATAATTTGCCACATTGTCCTTACTGGAGGTTTTTCTAATATCTGTGACTGTTCAACAATCATCAATTACTACCTATTGTCCTAGTTTCAGCAAGGCAAACTCACCAATTCGATGGTGTGTTACACGGTTAGGATTCAGTACTAGGCATATCTGTATTCATCTGTGGTGTCATTTTCGGTTTGTTTCCAGAGTAGCTAGTTGTTTACAGAGGTAGTGTATAATTGATAAGTTTTTTCCTTACATCAGTAAAAATAATAATAAGTATTGTAAAAATAATAATACTATTGTACTATACTATATCCCAAGAGACAAATACAAGTAGAATTTACTAATTTTCCAACTAATATTTTAGTTTGGCAATACACATGAACCAACAAAACAAACTGACTGCTTACCTAACCTAGGATAAAAGTTTGTTATTACTACTGGTATGTATTATTTTAGTTCACTAACAGATTGCTGCAGGCAAATGACAGACAGACAGGCAAGACTTTGTTTGAGGGAAATTTCAGAATGTACTGTACAGTATTTGTAATTTGTCATGCACACGTTGGCATCTTTGAAGTGGACATGTGATAGTGACAATTGTCTCTATTGTTTACGTGAAAGCTATGGTAAAAAACGTGATTAGGAAAAGAGCTGTTGCTTTAGTCTTGAAGTAAAAAATAACTTTTCTCTTTCGAGATTTTTTCTAGGGGGGTGCATAACCCAGTCAACTATCTTTAAATATCACCCTCCAGACCAGCGATTTTCAACCAATGTGCCGCGGGAGTCTAAATAGCATTTGGATAGAACTGTGGGGAGCCAGAATAAAAAAAAGAGAACAAAGTTGAAATGTTTGAACTGACAAAAGGTTGCAGACTGGACAAAAATCTTGTCAGTTTAATTCTACAAAGTTTGTCGCTACTGAGTAAAAACATTGAAAAGTATTTCCCATCACTCGATGTATCTTCCGTGGACTGGGTGAGAGATCCGTGTGTGGTAAGAGCGTGTGAGTCGGCAGAATTAACTGTTGTCGAAGAGGATGAGCCGACGGAAATCAGAAACGACAGAGGACTGAAACTGAAGCACCTATCAACAGATATGACTTCATTCTGGTTGTCCCTTCGAGAGGAATACTCCATCATTACAAAGAAGGCAATTGAAGCACTTCTTCCTTTCTCAACATTGTATCTGTGTGAAGCTGGCTTCTCTGCCATGAACACAATGAAGAGCAAGAACAGGTCACAGCTTCAAACACTGGAGGAGGACTTGAGGGTCTGCCTGTCAACCACTCGACCTCGGACAAGGAACAACACCAAGCACAGGTTTCCCACTGATATTTTCATGTAAGCAAAGGCCTTTTATTTTTACTCATGTTTGTATTTGAATACAATCTATAACTGATAGTTTCATATTATTTTTTAATGGATGGCATCTTTTTCAATGACATCTTGTTTCAATGTGTAGTAATAACAAATATGCACAAAACTTTCAAATTATTTTGAAAACCATGACCAACAATATACTTTTGGCAATAAAATTAATAAAAAAAATTTTTAAACTATAAACACATTCTTATCATTCATTTTCTTTTAAATGATCAAATCTATCCTTAAATACTGATGGTGTGCCTCGACCATTTTAGTGCCTGGCTCACTGTGCCGTGAGATGAAAAAGGTTGAAAATCACTGCTCTTGACCCACAGACACGCTCCTTACCCAGCAAAAAGATTACAATAAGTTGGTGGGTAGTTACCACTGCTGGGTTTGTTGGGTTTCCTTTCAAACAACTTGCAATTATGACTGAGCATTTGGAAATAAGCTCTAGCATGAATTATTATTTAATTTTTTCTTGTAATTTTTTGGGTTGGTTGTCCTAATTACCTCACCACTATTACGTTTAAATCATAAAGAAATAAGACATGAACTAAACTAATTTAACCTAGGTAACCATAGCAACCTAACCCAATAATCTAAGGTTCCTTTATTGGTTAGGTTTCATTTCATGTCAACTTTCATAAGCGGTTTAATGACAAAGCCTCTCAACCACTATTTCTAAACTGTATTCATACTGCAGATTGTAAGGAAATTTTATGCACCATGGGGTAAATTTAACATGATTTTTTTTGCAGTTTGCCATTCGTTTCTGCAGTAATAATGATTCAAAATTCATTAAGGACAATACTGGAATAACATTTAATTACTATGAGCACAAAGAGAAAAGTAAATATAACCAAGGTAGTCACTACTGGATATTTTGGTAATGGTATAAAGAGTTAATGAATTAGTAAATCAAGTCATACAAGTATACTTACCTTCATCACCAGGTCCAGTGACTAACCACGCCCAAACAAACAACTGTTGTCAAACTAAATCATTTTATGTCATACTTAATGTTAAAATATAATCGGTTTCATAAATAAGTTTGCTAAATAGAATTGAATGATGCCTTTAAAAAAAATTCAAAATATAGCGTACCTTTAATAACTCATGTAAACAAAGAGGCCTGTCAACAATTTCATCACAGAAACTTTCGATATATAAAGTACAACTCAAATGTCAGTAACAAACATATAATGATCCAAAAAGGCAATATCCAGGTCCATAATTACAAGTATATACCACCAAAGGCATGGACCTCATAAAGAGAATTAATTCCAAACATAATAGTAACACTCAAAAGCCTATCCATTAACTTGAACTATTTACTTCATTCTGTGTACTCACCACTTTTGAAGACCTCAGGAGTGTCTGGGTCCGAGGAGTCGTCACTAAAGTGTTCCATGGTTGAAGGAGTTGGTTATCCCCCGGGGTCGTCACATCGTTACACCCTGAGTCGATCACTGACAACAACACGCCATGACAGATGCCGATATAGGCCCAACACCTTCACTATTACCGTAATTGCCGTGTGTAGAATGATTATATCCGGTAATAAATGCTATTTTTGTGTAGTTATATTAAATTTTGTTTTATGGTATGAAATATTTTGTTGTGCATTTTTTATGTAACAAATAGTATTCGCATTTTAGTATAACACTTCATATATTAGTGGAAATCGTCCATAGATAAATAGGCATATATTCCGATAAATACATATAAACAGAACTTCGTGAGATAGAATTTGAAGATAATAATTACAAATATATAATTTGTTTACAATAATTTATAAGGTGACACACCATCACCAGCCATGGCTGCCCCCAACCCCTCCACACTGTTGCCGCTCGGTATGGTTGGCTGGGAATAATTAACCTATAGTGTTATTTATAGAACATACTTACTGCTTGACATTTTTCATTCCTATTCATTTACATTGATAAATTATCAGGATAATGTGAGGAGGTTCATTATCCATAATGAACCTCCTCACAGGAGGGGGCACTACATTGTGTTACATGATGTATGTGTTTTAAATGTTATTCCAGACAGCTTGAGTGTACATTTACCAGAAATAATCTTCCGGTGACAAAATGTAATGGAAATGAATGATGATTCCTTTCCCATTGCCTTGCACTTTCGGTGCTTCAACGATTTAATGGAAAATGTCATAGTATAGCGTTATATTGTACCCTAGAGCAGAGGTCTGGGTTGATAAGGTCATCTGGGGAATCTTAGTAATTTAACCCCACCATAAAGGGGGATCTCCTCCCTCCCTCTGGTTTGGTTAGATATACAGTAGTTCCTGGGTTCTGTGGATAGGTTAGGTTACTGTCAAAATTATCGTTTCGGGGTTCCAGCGATTTTTTTTTATCAGTGGTTTAGATTCTATGGTATTTTGCCCACTCATGATTATTATAAGAAAAAAATCGAATATCTTTGTGTGTTTTTTTTTATTGAAAATATGTGTTCCGATGATTTTTTAAGTGTATTTTGAACGAATCTGACCTTCATTTCTACCATGAATCACACCAGACCAAACCTAACCTAACCTAACCTAACCTTTTGTAAAATTAGCATTGCAGTTATCCAGCAATTTTTAGGATTTTAAGTTTTAGAATCAGTAGTGCTTACCTTAATTAGACCGGGAAACTATGAGTTCTGGTCATCGGGGTCGTCGTCCTCGTCATCCACCTTCTGGAGTTTAACAAATAAAATACTTGTCCATGGCCCTGGATGTGCACCGTATAAAAATGTTCCTTTATAGTGTGACACTTTATAATTACACTTCCATTTCTTTTACTGCCAGATAGCAATTCTCCTTCCACAGTACCAAAGGTGTTTGTCAGCTTGATAGCTACAGGGCTTGTTACAGTTCATGCACTTAACCTGAATTGGTAACACACTGTGTTCCTGGAGAAATTTCAGCGCCTCACCTTCTTTAACGTAATACTGTACTCGATTTGAAATCTTGCGATTGTTTGGATGTAATCTACATCACAGTCATTGCACAAGGGAGGCATCTTGAAAATAAATTCAAATTCAAGGGGGTTGCAGTGGGAGGGGGGCCTAAACCGTGCTGTGATTGGTCGATCCAAAATCAAGCCCCCCAATGAACGTATCAGATTCTTGCAAAGAACAACTGCACATGCATAATTCAGCCTAATTACCATCAGACGAACATACAAGCTTTCGGGGATGGTGTTAACATCAACCATAACTCTGAAAAAAAAAAAAAAAATTCAAAAAATTTAGTGCAATTTTCTCTGAAAGTATTGACCAGCGGGCAATATATATATATATATATATATTAAAAATCGCTGGATCCCCAAAACGATAATAATACCAAGTTAGTTTGGTTTGGAAGGATATCAAAATACAGGGATGACCAAAACTAGCATTTTACGTATGGGTTTAGCAGTAAAAACTTTAATTTTGTGATTAGGATAAGGAATAAAGGATTTGGGGACAAAAGTGTTAAATTCCACTCCCATCGTGTATTCTCATTCTTTTTCTGTACCATATAACCAGGGAAGTAAAAAAAAAAATTTAACTTCTGTACTATACTATACTATACTATACTATACTATACTATACTATACTATACTTTCAGAGTTAGTGGACAAATGTATTGGTTCTCGTATCCACATTATAATGAAGAGTGACAAAGAAATAGTTGGAACACTTCTCGGTTTTGACGACTTTGTAAACATGGTTCTTGAGGATGTGACAGAGTATGAGTCTACACCAGAGGGAAGAAGAATCACACAATTAGATCAAATTCTTCTCAATGGAAATCATATAACAATGGTAAGACATAGATGGAGGTACAGTGTTACATTACACTATATTTATAGTGTAGTACTATAAATATAATTCCATGGACCAAAGCTGATAAAATGCTGTTGTATATTTTGTTTTTGTTTTTCCATTAGGATGTGTTGTTTGGATTATAAAGGCACTGTACTGTACTTAGATTCTTGAAAATATACAGTATTTGTGAATCAGCCTAAGACTTTAATGCAGCTAAAATGAGGTAAAAGCATTTTGGTCCTATTCCCAACTGGGGTGAGGAAGAGCCCAGTACTGTACAGTGCAGCACCAGGAAGCCATCAGGACAGTGTAAAGTCTAGACTAGGACTCGGAGTATTTGATGCTGGACAACTTCCGTCCATATGGCTGAACCAGATGAAGGTTATGATGTGCTCTTGACTCATTGCTTCTAAAAATTCCTTTTATAATGGAATTTTACAGGAATATATTGCCATTTACAGAATCTTCAGATTTAATTTCTTTTAACGTCATCACTAAAGTTCACCCTGCATTTGTATTCACTGACAACATTTGTTACAGTCACTCCTAAATGGCCTTTTCTTCACCACATGTTCCAAGAAGTGGTTCTGCATACATCAGAACACCTTTTGTAATAGGCATAATCCAAATTATGGTAAATTGCATATGGCAGTGTCTGTACCCATTGTACACTGACTGCTCTAATTTCATGTTTTTCACTGGTATTATCCATTTCTCTTCACTATGGAATTTCCTGGATCCTCAAGTTTCATTGCATATTTTGTACTTGATGTGTTTGAGTTCTGTTACCTGGGTGACATGATCAATGCTGGTGGGGATGCTGAAGCCTGCTCAGTTGCAAGAATTAGAAGTGGCTTGAGTAATATTTGGGAGTTGCTGCCTTTATTGGTGGCAAGAGGACCTTCGTCTGAGTAAAAAGAAGACTGTATGTGGTTGATGTTAGAAGTGTGATGTTATGTGGCAGTGAAACATGGGGCAATTAAAGAGGATAAGTAAGTAGACTTGAGTGAGCTGAAATGAGAATGCCGAGATGGAGGTGTAATGTGGTACTGAGAGACAGGAGGCCCCTTTTAGACCTAAGAGGGCAGCTGGGTATTGAGAGTATTGGTGAAGTCTTGTGTAGAGGCAGGCTGAGATGGTTTGGGCATGTTGAAAGTATGGATGAGGCTAATTGGGTCAAGTGGTGCATGAGCCTGAATGTGGAGGGGAGGAGAGCCAGGGGTAAGCAAAGAATGACATGGGGAGAGGCTGTAAGAATGGCTGCAAGAGACCATGCTATTTGGGGAGCTGCCATCAGGTAACTGCGGCTATCCCACACAAGTGTGGAAAATGGCCGTAAAACGATGATGTTGAATCACATAATTGTCCTTACTCACTTGGTATCATAAAATTTATTTTTACATATCTTGAGCTCATCACAGATCTTGGATAGTGATATTCTTGGTATCGAAATAGAATAGTTTTCTTAATAGCTTCTGTAGACGAGCTAGGACTGTTGTTGCGGACATTATGAAACACACAAGGTTTGAAAATGCATGAAATATAAAAAGTTTTTGGGTGATGGACCATACTTCTGCTTACTACAGTATACCCATGCTAACTGGAGGTTGCTGCCTCTGCCATGTGGTCTGTTAAAATGTAAATTTTGGTCTTATTAAAGTAAATTCAGTTTTGTTTTATGCCCTTATCTGCCAACCCACCAGATAAGGGCAGAGGTGTTCTCAGTGTGAGATACAGCTGAGCGGGAGGGGTTGTACCAGCACTGCAGTGCTTAGTGACACAACTTGCGTCGAAAGACCATGAATTAGCAGATAAGTTTACCAATCTGCATACTTCAGAATATGTATTTGATTATGTACAGCAGTGCTGTTTATGAATTAATTGATGAGTTTATTATTGAATTTGAGTAAAGGCTCAGAATTACATTAATGGTTTATTCACTTATGGGAACCTGTTTTTTTAGTTGGCCAAAGCTGAAATCGAGACAGCAGCTCGGTCCTGTAAACAATGCTGAACTGGTTGTCTATCCCTTATCCATTTCGTCATCCCTTTTCCTTCTCTTGACTTGCACTGGTTTGTCTTGATAACTTTTAGTTTTTCTGTTGAATTTACTCACTTCAGTCTTTCTTCATTATTCATGATGTATTATCTCTTCACCAAAACCTACATATCATTGATATAGGAGTATATTTTGTTGGCTTAAGGGTTGGTGTGACTTCTGTAAGTTTTTGCCTCTCTGTCGTTACTTGTTTTCATATTCCAAATATTGTAGAGTACCTGATGTTCATTAAAAGCCTCTAAACCTCTTGCATATTTCAATAACTGCTTCGTATTGTTTACCTTGAACACTATTTGTTTACAGTATCTTTTTATCTTTTATGTAGACTCGCAATTTCCTTTTTCACATGTTTTTCTATTTGGTATTTACCTCTATTCTTCACTGCTGCACCATGTCAAGAGTAGCCAAGTTTTACGTTTCGTTCATGAAGATCGTATGTTCCATTCAGTTTATTTACAGCCCATTCCTTCAGGCTTATATACATGTATAGAGTCACATCCAAGAAGAGCTTTGAACCTTTTTTATTAATTATACCATGTCTAGAGATGGACCAGGCTCTATTTTGTAAATTGTGAATTTATACAGGGTATTTGAAGCACAGAACAGTATTAGCTTTTATCATCAAACATTACAATGATTGGGGATGTGTAGCGACTATATATGTATTCTCTGTTACAGAATTGTGTGATTAGATCATCTTGTTAAATATATGAAAATTTTCAGAGCTAAGGGAACACACCCTAATTTTTACTTTTATTTGCAGCTTGTCCCAGGTGGTGCAGAATTAGTAGACTAACTTTGGAAATAACATACAGGACAGTGCTGGTTTTATAACATACCAGTATTCTGTTATAAATCATACTGCATCTCTGAAGGTAATGTAGAAGCCTTTCCAAGACATCCAAAATCTTAGTTGTAAAAAAAGTTACAAAAGAGGGTGTAAAATGTTTCTTTGAAAAATACTGTTTTACATTTATCTCAGCAAATACATTTTTCAGTTTTGACAATTCAAGAAATGTTTATAAGTATCAGTTTATTTTACTATTAAGTAGATCAGAAGAAATAATTCTGACCAGAAACCAATGTCAATAGAAAGAAAATTAAGTTACAGATGATAAAAAGAAAAACAAGTCCTATACAGTACATGCATTTTTTATTTAAGTTCGTTTCATCAAAATGTTGTGAAATATTTGGAAAAAACAAGATTCATTTCTTTTAAGTTATATTTATTTATGAATGACATTTGTACATGTATACAGTAATATTACTGAATTGTATAGTATTACAGAAAGGGCAGGGCACATCTTGAATGAGATGATTATTGTTGTGGAATTTGTGTTATCTTGGAGGTGTAACCTCGTGTTTATTGGTGGAGTTAAAATGTAATACTTTTTTATACAATAAATTTTCTTACAAGAATTTCCTAATGTATATACTGTACTGGCATATGTGTTATAACTAAAAAAAATACTTGTGTACAGGTAATCTCCGATCTTACAATAGGGATAGGACCCTGATCGTAGTCAGTGCAGTGTTAATTCCATAGTTTAGGTTAGGTTGAGGAACAACCCTGTCCATACAAAACGACAATACACAGTATTATAAGTGATAAATGCACGTGCTTATTTTTCTAACTAAAGCAAGCCAAGAGTTTTTTCTGGAGTTAAATGGGTGTGTTTAATTGAAACGTTTTTTTTTTAGCCAGAGTGGATAATATTAGCAATATTAACATGGCTGAGCCAGTTGAGAATCTGAGCTCTCCTGTAGGCACCTGATATATACAGTACGTACTGTACATTTATCTCAAGGAAGTATTATGTAACATTTAGTATCATCTGGAATAGTACACATAGCATGGTAGTAATAAGAACATCTCAGAATGTTACCACGGTTATCACTTCAATTTATTTATTTATTTACGTATTTGTTTTTTTACATTTATATGATAAGTATTATGCATAAGTTAGTGGAATTGAAAAACAAATATAATGGGGAAGCAGTACAACATGGGTTGTACAATATTAAGGTTGAACAAGAGGACAGAGCTGTCAGGATTATGTCTAGTTGGCAAATATATTTATTGCAATGGTAATTTCTTATTTATTTACATGATAATTTCCGATAAAACGGTTTTGATGGTACAATAAGAGCAGGTACTGGTATATATATTAGGTATTACAATAAATATCAATACAGTATAGTCTCGATTTACGCGGATTTCCTTTACGCGTTGGGTCATTTATGCGGCACCTGGCCAGACTGGCAATTATTAGTTACGCGGAACATTCCATCATTTATGCGGGAAGCGTGCGGGCAGGGTGCGCACAAGGTCGCCCAGTCAACAAAACATTACCGAGTTCTTCACCCACCACAGCCAGCCCAAGTCAGTGATAGTGAGGATATGGACTTTGAGGGGTTTGACAAAGAGGCCCTGCAAGCCTCTGTGGTGGATAGTGATACAGGCGAGGGCCAATAATCTGCCCTCTGCCTCGGAACCAAGCCCCCATCCCCGTGTACCCAGTCATCTCTTCTACTTACGTAAGTGTTAAAAAAAACCTAATATTATTAGGTGTTAGTAAACAAGATCATGATAGATTTAACAAGTTCATGATTGATTTCTTTCATTGCTGTGAGAGTGAGTGACTGTCGAATGTGGTACCGCACTGTTTATTGACTTGTATGTGGTTTCTCATCAATAATAACTCCTAGGAATTTAGTATTCTGTTTGTGTTTGAGGCCTGCATTACCAAGGTACAGGGGGTACAAGTCTGAGGTCAAGTTTTCCTTCTGTGAAAGATCATGTAGTGGGTTTTCTCAAGGTTTAAGGTCAGTTTATTATGTATTACCCAGGTCCTGACTTTAGTCAATTCAGTGTTCATAGTTCTCATCAAGGAATGGAGGTCTGAGTTGCTGGCATAGAGATTACTATCTTCTGCAAATAAGGTGTATTTTATGAGTGTGCTGCGTGGACCATGTCGTTTATGGAACCTTGGGGGGCGCTATACAAGATTGGCTAGGAGTCAGATTGGTGATTATTATAACAGACATACTGCATCCTGTTGGACAGATATGAGATAAACCAATTGTGGGATAGGCCCCTAATGCTGTAATGTTCAAGCTTTGAAAGGAGGATGGTATGGCCGACAGTATCAAAGGCTATAGAAGGGTCCAAGAATATACCAACTGTGAACTGACTATCATCAAAGGAATTTAAGATGTCATTAGTAAAGGATAGCAGAGCACTTTCAGTCGACCTTCTAGCTCTAAATCCAAACTGGGAGTCTGTAAAGATGTTATTAGCTTTGCAGAAGTAATTTAGTCTACTACATGCCAGCTCCTCCAGTATCTTACTCAAGGCTGAGAGGACTGATACTGGGCGGTAATTCTTGAAGAGACCTTTCTCCCCAGAATTTTTATATGCTGGGTGGACTTTAGCAATTTTCAGTTTATCTTTTAAGACACCACTAGTGAAGGAGGAGTTACAAATGTGTAGGAGAACAGGTAGTAATAAGTGGGCTACTTTCTTAATGATGCTCATTGGTATATTGTCTTTGCCTGCTGCTGCATCTTTGGACATTTTTATGATGGCCAGTAATTCATCTGCTGTGACAGGGATTCTTTATGATTGTAACAGTAATGAGAACATTATATATCTACCTTTACCAACTGTGTATCTGTTGAGGTGACTGTTAGCGTGATATGACAGTTACTTGTGAAACTGCCATATATGTAACAACCTTCCTGGGTTGTCACCACTTGTAACAATCACTTGAGAAGCACGTTACCGTATATTTTAGACATACTAAAATAGATCAAAGTTTATTGGATCTTCTGTAGTGAAATCCAATGTGTTCCTTGACTGTATTTATTAAGAAAATATATACAGTTCCAAATGTATATCACCGTAACTTAATCACTGTAGCTACGAGTGTTAAATGAGGATGGAGGCTATATTAAATAGTTCTTCTAAAATATGTCCTGCTTGTGTAAGAGTGCTTGTAATACCCGTCGAGGGAGAACGGTAATATACATCCTCCCTCGAGGAAGACGGAACCAACCACTATGGCTCTCAATAATGTCTTCCTCAAGTCAAGGATATCAAACTACTGCCGCAAGAGGTGGCCAGAGAACCGGCTACTTAATGCCTTAGCTCAGCACTAAGTGACGCGACTTCCCGTGGGCACACCTTATCGCGTGCTCTGAACATGTTACCTCATAGCTAGTGGAAAGTTACAGAGGGTGATAGAGTATATAAATCAAATGTAATTAACCCATTTATATAAATACTTCTGCCTATAAGACAGGGGCTATTACCTCATTCTTCCAATATAATTTGATTATCAGAAAATATCTAAGAACAATGTGCTAACCTCTCTGCTAGTAGAGTCAGACCATTATGTTCCTACCTATTTTTTTATTGATTTATGTACCGGGGGACTATTAAAATATTTAGCTCCTATGTACAGTCTCACCCAAAAGTTTAACTCTCCCAGCCAGCTATTGCTGCACTGCCTGCCTCAGATGTATGAACTTGAGTCTGTTACTTCGAATCTTTAAATTCATTCGGATCGGTTTCATGTTCTGGTTGGTACTGAAACAATTTCAAACATATGAAGCAGGCAGTGCAGCAATAGCTGGCTGGGAGAGTTAAGGAACTTTTCGGCGAGACTACCTCTGAAAAATGTTGGCTAACTCCGCGGGAGTGCAAATTCCAAAATGGCAGCCGGTGGTCATTTTCGCAATATGACTGGTGATAACTTTTGAACTAGATACACTATAATCATAAATAGGGGGTAATTTTCCACTAATTTTTAGGTGAGAAATCTTATGGGATGGTAAATTTTTCGTTCGGGCGCCATCTTGACCTCCAAATCCAAGATGACGGCCATTGCCAAGGTTAAAAATGTGAAAACGTTACAACTAAGGAACCAATTGAGCTATATCATGAATGAGGCTGCTTCTGCCACTTGTTCCAACGTGGCAAAATGGATAAGATAGTTATTTTACTTCCGAGGTCACCTCGATCCTTTATACAAAATAGTTTCTCTGAAATTTTATAAAAACGGGTGGGAGCATAATGATCACTGATTTTATTAAAGCAACGCCACCATGCGAGAACAATTTGTGATCTCAGTATCTGGGGAATATTCTAAATAAAATTGAACAGTTAATTTTTTATGCTTTACTACAATAATCTCTTGCATTTTAAGCATCATTGTCGCTGTCACTCCCTGTGCCACTGCTGCCATTAGAATCACTGTCAGTATCAGCATCATCTCCATTGTCACTTTCACTGTCTGTGTCCATGTCTTCATCACCTTGATTCAGGGGTAGGGGTATTGATGTGGGAAGTGGTGGCTGGGTGTAGCAGACAGGCAGGCACAGGCCGCCATCCATGTCTGATGGGCGAGTGGGTGGAATTGAAGGTTTGGGTGCTTCAGCAGAAAACCAAAATAGTTTATTTGCTTTAAGTGGAGGTGAAGACTGTCTGAGTCAGGTGTCAGTTGGACTGTGTTCTACTGTGCCCTCCACTTAACTGCCCTTTCTTCTCCCCGAGTCGTGTTCTTGGCATCACAAAAGATGTATCGGATCACAAACTTCTCTAAATCATCGAGGACCTCTTTTGGGGCTTGCTGCTCTGTGCCACATGATGCCAAAAGGTCACATACCTCTTTAGAACTTTGGACATGATCTGCCACCAGTTTCTTGCTGGTGCTATAGAGGCTAGAGTTAGGATCGCAGCCAACGAGGACACAAAGTGGAATGATGCAGGCCATCATTTCCTCACAGCATAGACTTCAAGGGGTGATGAATTGTGTCTTCCTCTTCAGACACAATACTCCTGATATTTGATGGGCAACATAAGCTACCTGCACATAGTTATCGGCATCTTCTGTATCAAGAATGACAGCTTCTGTATAGCCCTTTGACCAGACAAAAAACATTGCTGTGTCAGCCTCTGCATAGGAACAAGTGAACTGTGGTGCAGGCTAGCCTGTATTGACATTTTTCACAGTGGGAGAAGATGTCTGCAGTGCTCTGGCTGCCCCAACCTGCAAACAGATCTTATTTTCTGCTTTACCCAGAAGAGAGTGGAAGCCTTTGATTGTAAGAAACTTATCTTCTGACTTCATGTAAATGTTACTGATTGACGTACTAAATCGAGTGAAAATAACAAATTAAATTTAGCTGAAATTTTGATTCAATGGAAAGGGGTGGCTTGAATTAGTTCGTTAAATCAAGAAAATACTGTATTGTATACGTGTCACACAGAACATGTATGATAAGGTTCCTTTTAATTCTTCTCTGTGAAATCCAGGAGGGCATCATACACAACATAGTCATTTTACATATTTCTCTGAAGATCAACAACAAAGTGGGCTCCTGTATTGTTCTGTAACACAATCACATACATACAT